CGCGCTTTAAACTCATAACTTGCGCGTGCATGTAACTGGTCTGTGGGGTAGAAAGGTCAACTACTTTTCAAACAGATAAATATAACTACGAGTACATATTACGAGTCATTTCATTGTAAATCAGAGGACGATCACCCACATACAGACAAGCATACACAAACTATAACAATGTCTAAGTTCATTCCATTCTAATAAACAAATAATCATCTTAGGGGGTGTCATCGATCTTTTTGGGCAACGATAGGTACACCCAACTGCGCCCTCACACGACTGTCGTATATTATGCAACGCCATTAACGGTAGGCATAATGATGCTGTTGGACACGCACCCCCTGGAGATGAGAATCTGGTCAACGGCTCATTCCAGAACACCCTCCCACTCATAATTCGTATATTGGCTACAATCACTTTGACTATCCACACCCATTGTTTCTCAGACACTCGTGGCAAACCAGAATTACGGCCTTTTTCGGTCGACTTTCTATTTTTATGTCTGTCACAGTCACCAGTTAATAGTAAGATACGATTTTGTATTTGCAAATAAGGTAGTACATTTAAATTCTGCCTGTATGGTCAGCTACGGTTTCGTGTCATCCAGTACCTCTGATACAATCCGACATAACTATGTTCATATTTGATAGATAACCGCATGCAAAGCCACACCGTCGATCGCTTGACATGGACTTACCGTTTTCGCAGTTTGTGCCCTGGGTGCCTTGTTTGCACTGGCAAAAGTAACCTCCCGTTGCCTCGATACGCGAGCATACAGCGTCGTTTTGACAGGGGTCACTATCGCATGGTCTGACTACAGACATGCAGGAGTGTGACAAAGGAGGAAAAGGTTGGAAACAGGGGAAATAAGTTTAGTACACGAGAATAAAATGTCTATGTTTTCTATGTGTACTTTGTGAAACGAACATGCACATGCAGAGCAACCACTGCAGAGAGTTCACGTTGTCTTGGTGTTCTATATATTGATTTTGTGTAAAGGTACAAATACAACGAGCAGATACTGACAACATCGTTTAATTAATGATTGTAAGAAACATTCACAGAAACGTATATTTATCTAAGTTATTCATTGAGTGTATATGGATCAGAGATTTCGCATGCGTTAAACGAAAAAAAAAAGTTAACTGATTTGATTAAACCATCCAAGCCCATAAGTTGTTTTATCCTTGAAGTACGTTTTGGGGGAAAAGATTACGTTTCTGAAAAGTGTGCGTCATTTGGTAAATATGTACATGCTTTGTAATTTTGTTTAAATAGGTTAAAATAGGTGTAATATAACCCAGGGGTGATAACTACGCCCATCACCTCTAATGGATTTGAAAATTATCCTCGTACCTTAGTCCATGGGCCAAGGTACGAGCCTATTTGAAAACGTTGGACAAGATAAGTTTACGCATGCGTTCAACAAACCTGTGATTTCACAATCGTCGCCTACGTAGTCCACGGTGCAAGAACATGTATAGTACGGACTCTCCTCGGTTGACGTGCACGTCCCGCCATTTTGACAAGGGCCGTTCTCACATATTGAGAAACCTTTTGAATAAGTAGTAAATATGATCATATTTTATTTGGCTTCTCGGTGTAAAAATAATTTATTCATCAGAAGATGTTTGAGTAATACGTGATCGATTACGCATGCGCATATTATAATTTGTGATTTATTCTGATACCGGTACATAGAAACACGTTGTACTTACTAGCCTCGTAAGATAAGCTCCATCCGTCGAGAGTCACACTGTTACCGGAGTAAAAAATTAACCACACTTGATTCGATAACACGGTATACGGGTCGGGTAACGTCGTCCCGGTGAGTTTCGCTAGCGGTCTGTTTATATCTGCCCGCGCACCAGACCCGATGAAAAGGAAATCTTTTCTCTCTTCTACGTTGAACTCGGTGAAAGTAAAAGTCACAAAATTGACGTTGGGTAATTTTATAAAGTAGTAGCACTGTTGATTGTTGAGATACGGACTCGATGTGCTAAGCGACCCCGTGCTGGTGTAGTGACTGCTGCCACAGTCATCGATGCCTGTAAAGTAACATGTTGTCAATACGATATGTTTTCTTCCCGGGAAAGACTATAAAATAAATTACACCCAAAAGCCCAGCTACCATTATTAATGAAGGCATGCGGGTGGAAGGTCTTGTTTAATGTAGGTTCATGCCATTAGTTTATTAGTACAAGTTTACTTTGCCTTTGTTTTTCATCGGAGATGGTTGCCAGGCTGTAGAAATGCCCGGATGTTCGTTCCTGATAACAGCACGAAGCTACCGTCTTCACCGCGGAACAACCTGTGGCTTGGCATAACCACGCGATTAAAGAGAGACTGGAATTGACAAGTACTCAATCTTCGTTAGGTTACGTTTGTTTTTTTATTCAAATCACAATACAGAATTTAGCAATGTTGTTTATTATCATTGTCACGGTCGTAACGTACCACGACTATACTTGTACGATTATTACATACATGTAATCGTTTTTATACAGGGTAGTTCAGATTATTATATAGCTTTACTAAAAGCTGATTGCCATTTAAACGACGTGTATGACTGAGGGCAGCAATTGTTTATCTTGTTCAGTGCAGTTTATATTTAGATGACTATACTTAGCTATGTTTCCACCGACACCTTGGCGATTGTTTATTCTGAGTGTTATTGCAATGTTTACTTTTAAGTTACATTTGACTATGCTTTGCACATGCAGCAAGGCGAGGGGTACAGTTTTCCAGTTGCGGTTAATGCACAGAAAAAGTGATTTCTTGTGTTTATTTTTTTTTTGTTCTTGCATTATGTATTTGTATTATTAATTTCGGGAGAAGCAATTTGTTTGTCTTTCATATTGACTGCTTGGCAGACAGTTGTGCACCAGTGGTTGCTCTGGGCAACCCTAATCCTACCCCGTGTATCGTATGCGCATTAGATGTGGGAGTCCAGTGAACCTGTCTTTATAGCGTTGTGGTGAAATAAAGCGTGTTGCGCCCTCCGCGGCGCCAACCTGTATAACTTTGATGGCGTAATGTCAATTGCTGTCACAACTACTAGTATGTAGACTTGAAGTTTTGTGAATTACTGTCGGTACTTGCCGAGTACTATTTTTTTTCTCTCAAAATGACCTATCTCATAGAGGTGAAGTTAATTACTTTAATTGTAAGAGTATATGAACTATTATGAAAACAAAGTAAATGCAGTTGTTTGAACAACAGGTGGCGCTGTTAAGATTTCAAAGTATGCATCGTGCACCCATCTTCAATATTTCTAGTTTGACGGTTTCTACACACTATTGTTTTATTCACCGCCGCTGGAGGGGGGTCTAAAACCCAACACCAACTGAACGTGCATTAATACCTAACCCGTCACCGTTGTCATGCCAATAAATGGGGATTGTACTGGTTTACCTTGAATTTGCATCTCGCAATTTTGGTCCATAAAATCTATGGGACATTGACAAATATAGCCAACCCCAGTGTTAGAATTAACGCATGTTCCACCATTTTCACACGGGCTTGTTGAGCAATCTGTTGGAAAGAAGTGATCGGATGTCTGGTATGTTAGTATATAGGCTTGCCTTACGAGTTAGTACAGTTATCATAAAGAAGATAGTGGTTAATGATTTATTAGGCGTTGTTGGAGTAAAATACATTACATTTACTCATTAGGTATTTTAAAATGTGTGCTTCTGGCCAGCGCGCTTACTACGTGCGCACCAACAAAAATTAGTGTGTGTCGATCTTTTTTGACACTTATTTCGCCACTGCATAGTGCCCTCTATTGCCAGACTAGTGAGATCGGCCAAATTTGTGCCGACCAAATATTTTTGTTTCTCGTATATGTATTGGGCACGTATTGTTGTAATGACCCACAACTTCTGGGTGTGTTGTTTGTTCTCATTGAACCACTGCGAACAGTTCGCGTCTATCTACTTTGCCGAGACATAAACACGTTGTTCCTTTCAAACACCGCGAACTGTGTGGTATTTACTTACTTGGGACAGTTTCAAATATCGGCCACCGAACAAATGTTTGGAATCGAATACGTGAAAGAATACTAGTTTTCTTGTACGACACTCGTCTCATATTTAACACACGAATTACTGTTGATCTCACACCACGTAAATGTAACTTTTGACAGACTTCGGGTGCACGTGACTACTTTCCGAGTGCAATCATCTTACTTCATGAAGGTTACCTAAAAATGTGAGTGGAGAGCCCTAACACTATATTTTGCAGACAAGGAAATGAAGTAGAAATTACGCAATCACCATGTGACTGGCAAATATTACGATTCAAGGCATATGGCCAAGCAGGTCAGCTGGATAATATAAACCCCATCAGACTGCGAAGAATGGGATATTGTTGTGAAAGTATGTGTCCGGTATTTGGAACAGCGGACGTGTTGACGTGGCAAACTCGCTTTCTCGTGGCGGCCATTTATTTTGTATATAATTTTCATTCATCCCTTTCAGTGTCTTAAAAGTTTGCAAAGTAGACATCAGAAACTAGATGTCAAATATTGTCTAAAAATAACTCACGGAGATAGAAATATAACCTAGTTCGCGGGGAACGGCACGGTGAACAGCTCACAACACGCCTATATATTTAACGAACTTTTGTCCAAAAAATCGGTGAAGTGGAAACATGCAATACCTTTCAGCTTCATTTATTATGACGTCGGCAAAAGATGGCCATTGTTCCTGACAAACTAACAACAATGGAAACTGAAAAGAATAGGTGTATTTACAGCGGCAGTATTCGTGAGAGGACGCCGGGAGTTCGGACAATTGAAGAACAAATAGTACCGTGTAGGTTACACTTGTAGTTAGTTGTATTCGTCTTGCGAGGCCATGTACACATGCCTAAAACTTAAACGAACAAAACAACAACGTTTCTTCGCCGTTTGATAACATGGTCCATACATTTTTTATCCGTCACCGCCGTTGGCCTACCGAGTACGTGCTCACACGTTTCAATTACTCGCCAATTTACCACAGTGACTTTCGAGCTTTGTTCATAGTACCTCGTGTTATTTATACATTGTGAAGTAGTGGTTTGTAAAAATTGAGTTTAATTAAACCGAGGCATGCCTTAAAACTTTCTCACAGGTAGGCCTCTTATATGGTGGTTACCGTGGCACTACTTTAATGCCCATGGCTACTCACTATCAATGCAATAGTAATTCGTAAAAAATATAAAAGGTATTCGAACCTATGGGAAACACGCGTCCTTCGTGACCACTACAATGTTTGGCGATGATAAATCAACATCCAAACTATGTGCTATATATATATATATTAGTATATATATTGTATATATTAGTATATATATTGTAAGACGCGGTTTCTTGACAGACCGCGTTCGTAACGCCAAAGTGAGGGGTGAAAGCAACGTCGTTCAATAAGACGAGTGTGCTTGGCTGTGTCGTCGTTCGTCATCTGGAATATGGTAAAATCTTTGATAAACGTTGATGAGCGACAACAGATCAAAACGATATCGACGATTTGAACGGCCTTTATGTCACTCATTTACGTCATAACAGCACTTTGTCGCTAGAGGGCGGGACTTATAGAAGAGGTGTATTCTATTCTATTCTATTCTATTCTATTCTATTCTATTCTATTCTACGAAAATTAATATGGGAGTGTAATTATATTTATACTGTCATGATACTAACTTGTGCAAATACACGTTTGAAACTCTCCATTCGATCTAATATGAAACACAGAATTAAGAACACACCTTTGTCGCAATGCTTTGTGGGTGCATAAAACACAACATAAAGTACAAAATGTATAACGTAACATATTTCTGACCCATCAAAATTAAGTTAAGAGATGTGATCCAGCAATAATCGCAATCACAATTCAGTCAGCGCACCCGAGTAACGATCGTTATTTGAGTTCTAAGCCTGACAGAAATGGAGGGCACTCTATGTATTACAAACAGATTATCATCATCAATCTGACAGACCTTTTTGTCCACCTTTGTTTTATATTCATATTGCGACATATGGAGATGTCATATCTAATGATGAATGTTCGATCGTTTTTGCAGTGTTAGGTTCTACTGCCAATCTGTTATTTCTATTATTCGCTGATTATTGGAAAGTCGGATCTCCACATGCGCCATCTAGCGGTCTTCTCGGGACAATCACGATCATCTACCAGTAATCACTCATCGACAGTAACGCAGCAGTGGTGAATTTTTACGAGGCTATTTGTTAGAACATATATTGAAAGTAACGTCGTTACGCCACGGGGAAGCACGATAATAACACTAACGTATTCGCTCGATTTGCGTGATATGGTCTACAACATCAACGGACTCACAAAACATGCGGGCACGTGACCTCCATTCCCCATACACAAAACACACGACCCGTCTGTATTGTCACTTGAAAATGTGATATCAAGAACAGAAAACAAGAATTGAAGCGTTACCAGGACAACCAGGTAACATAATGGAAGTTTGTTTACACAAGGATCGAATCAATTATTCAATTAATTGTAAATTCATTATTTATATTATTCAATTGTAAATTTGTGGTTAAATATTTGACCTTTTAGAAAGTATACCATATGGGTATCTATTGATATTTTATTTGAGTAATTTTAGAAACAACTAAACCAAAAAATTGTACACGAAAACACTTTTATGGTCATGCTAACGAAATATCACTGACATTTAGTGGTTTCAGCAGGCGTGAAGTTAGAAAACAGCTCCGAGATTAGGTTTGTATTTGCATAACAAAGCAATGTATGTATTGTTATTTTTGGTAACTTACATCTACATACGCGCAGAAACAACAGCATAATTATGCATAACATGTAATTTATAAATAGTTTCTAAACACAAGTTTAACGGGTTGTACTTATTATATCGCATGGTTTTGTTTTCAGATTATTTTTAAACTTGAATATTTTATTTAGCTATTTTTCAATTCGTTGCAATGTTTTTTTTTTCAATCAAGGGATCACTACTGAAACGCATAGGACCTACTTTTATTAAATTTCTTTATAATAAAATTAAATATTATCACAAACAATATTTATGGGTTAGCCTTATAATATGTGTATTGATTGTTTTTATAAATTTCAGATATATATATATATATATACTTTATTTGATCTGTATGGATTATTAAATTCCACCATCAGTTTATCTCTCTGCTCTGTGTTAACGACATTGCCGTACAGTTTAGTTGGACAACCTTAAAATTAATCGCCTGCTTCAAGGAAAAGTACACACAGCGTCAAATAGAATGCAGACACACGCATACAAACAAACAAAAGGCGTGAACTTGAGATACAGGTATCAACATATTAAAAAATTATTTCCATTCGTCAAACGACTTATAAAGAATATTCTGTTTACATGATAGTTTTTCATTTCCTTTCCACCACATGGTTAACAACTTTATATATTATATCGCCAAATTAATATTGAATTGACTATGTGTCTGTAACTGAGTTAGTCATACGCAACACACGTTGCTGTGTTAGTAGGGGTGACACTATGGCAATATCGGCTTGAATTTCACTGCCTACGCCCAACCATAAGTCATTGTCAACGCGATATCTACCAGTGGATAATGTAACACTGTGACAATGGTATAACCGTCAGTTGCATATTATGGAATCACCAGAAACTGAATTCGATTTCTATCTTGGATTGAACACACTAACAGAGCTCAGATTAATAATTTAAAAAAATAAAATTTAAAATGATATTTTAACATAAATTAATAACGATAAACAAATTGTCATTATATGCGAGTATATTGTTGTAATCATCCCGAAACATTCGCAGAGATAATTCAACAAAAAGTTTAAAAAAGTTAAAAACTACGGAATAATGCAAAATATAGTCAATTTTACGTAAGGTAGATTATCGCTGGTTCAACCTCAAAACACGAGTAATGAGAAATGGAAAGCAGCCATAAAACCTAAACTAAAGATGTTCAAAATAGATATATATAAATTTTGAAAACATTTTCAGTTCCCAATCGAAGATTTGAATCAATACTAAAACTTCAATATTCCCATGGAAGAATGAACAATCAGCCAGCGCAATTTCATGAAATATGTAAATTTATTTTTAAAACCATGATCAAAACACATGTAATTGGGTAGATTAAGAAAAATTACAAAAATATTCATGAAAATAATTGAATATAAACGTAATGCAAAACATCTTTTCCAACAACCCACCATCATTTATGTTCTTACGAAATTATTATTATAATTGAGACTGAGAAATCGTTGTTCAAGTCCCAATTTAAACACTGTTATATTTCAATGTTATAGGATATGGATATCCGGATATTACTCGTCAATCTACTTCAGCGAAACTAAAATACCATACTAAAATAATATCGACATTATGACTGCGTCATTACGTAATATAAGCATTTCGTCGCTAGAGGTCACGCTTCATTGAAAAGATGTAGGAAAGGTCAGAAAATATCTTCCAAACCATCCACAAGTGCACTGACTGCCAGTTTGTCAAACCTAATTTGTAAGCGGTTTAGCAGTCAGATTACGGCATGGTCTTCCCCGTGCGTGCGTGTCTAGTCGAAATTTTCTTCTGTTAAATAAAAGTATGTTGTGTACCTATAAGCGTGAACGTGTTTCCTAACGTGTTACTTCTCAACTTTGACCTTTTTATTCACGTGACATTCCCATACTATTGATGTTAACTCATCATTCATCGCATTTCAATTCATTCATTCATTGCATTTCAAAAAAAGATTAATTTTCTATAGTGGACTATAGTTTCAACCAGCCCCGTTCTTTGAACATAACTACAGTTTTTGATATTGACAACACTGATCGATGGGTGAAGTTGTTGTTTTGTTTTTTTAATTTGCCCAAACTCGAGTAACAATACCCACAACCGATAACAACGCATTGTTATTATGTCGTTAAAAACACTCCCACGCATTTGAGCAGTGAAAGACGGTGTTCTATTGTTCCTTTTTCTGTTAGCAGTTTATGACAAACTCTTATTGTCATATCATAGGTTGGGTAGTATTTGTTATTGTAATGCCTCTTCTTATTACTACAACATAAGACAAACTG